CAAGGAAAACAGTAAAGAAACCTCCATAACTCCGCTCAGAGAATCGTTCCGCAAATTTTGAAGATAGTTTTGAGTTCACCGTCTCAAGACGAGTACAATGATGTGCACCTCATTGCATATGGCCAGGCTGACCTGTTGACCTTTCCTGGTCAGTCTACAAGAAGCCCCGCCTAATGGATATCAACACGTCAGGGGTTGCATCCGGAGACCTTGACTGGGTAGACATAAACGACAACACGGTTTACAATGCTTTGAGAAGACTCCCAAACAAATAGGGTATCCGTGTCGCTGGATGGAATCTCTCACATTTTCTCAAGAAGGTTATGGTTATGAAAAAACTGAGTCTCCTCCTCCATTACCTATGATGGCATACCACAAATTGTCTTTCGAAAGTGTTGTTTTGCTCTTCACTATCCTGTAACATTCATCCTTAACGCCTCTCTAGCATTCGGTGAAGTGCCCAGTATTTGGAAAGATGCTCTTGTAACCCCAATACCAAAAGTTCCCTCTGCTACCAAGGTCTCGCAATTCAGGCCTATAAGCATTTGCCCCGTTATGGGAAAAATCATGGAAAAGATCATCTGTAAAAAACTAACTGAGGCTCGTCAAAAGAGGGGTCATACCATCAGAGCAACATGGTTTTTTGCCGGGAGCATCAACTGTAACTCTCATGTGTGATTCAATGTACGACTGGTTGACGGGCGTCAACAGTGGCAAGTCGATTGATATAATATATTTTGACTTGACAAAAGCGTTCGACAAGGTTTGCCACGATAAATTAATTAGCAAGCTGAAGTTGATCGGGATTCAAGGGAGACTACTAGAATGGCTGAAATCGTATCTGAGGGATAGGTATATGACGGTTAGGGTTGGCAATCAGTATTCTGATCGCCATTTAGTTCAAGTGGTGTGCCACAAGGAGGAGCACTTTCACCATTACTGTTCTTGATTTACACATTGGACCTGCCAAAAGTCTCAAGGTTCATCCCAGTATTGAGGTTAAAATGTTTGCTGATGATATCAGAATCTATTGTGTTTACGACAGTCATGAGCAACCAGAAAGACACAAATGCTAAGCTTATCCATCGAGAGTTGGTCCACAGACTGGGAACTCCCCCTCAATTTGGAAAAAACTGTACATCTCCATCTGGGACCCTGCCCACCCATCCCGTATCAAGTTGATGGAACATTTATAAAGTTAGAATGCTCTGTCAAGGACCTGGGGATTCTTTTTGATGTACGGCTGGCATTTGATGAGCACATTGAGATGGTCGTGAAAAAGGCCATTAGGTGTCTTTTCCTGGTATTAAGGAATGTGCAATGTAATGACCCCAGTCTCCTTGTCAGGCTATACAACATTTACATCCGGCCTCATCTAGAGTATGGATCCATTGTGTGGAGTCCCTGGATGAAAAAACACGAGAACAGGTTGGAAAGAGTGCAAAAAACGTTTACAAGGCTCGCGTTCTACAGGTGTTTTCCTAATTCGGAATACCCCCAGGCACTTCCAGTCTACCAAGATCGCCTGAGAGCACTAG